GAAAACACGTAGCCATGACCCCTAACTTAAGCGTGCGCACAAAGCCCCTCCCCGCCCCACCAACTTTCCACTTCCAGGACAATGCATGATCCAAGCACATTGAACCCTCCAGACACAACTTCCTTTGAACACGTTGGAAAAGCGTGCATTCCCTCCTCATGGAAACAACCTGCACACGAGGCGCAATTTATTAAAACATTAGCATGCGCTGTCAATTGACAATTATCTCCTTAAGCTTTTCATAAAGAAATCACTGTTCTCCCGAAAGGATTCTAAAAGTCACTCGCTGAAGGATGCAAATAACTCCTTGCATTTGCCTCCTTGCTAATGATACGTGACAACCAGGAAGGATTCTCTTTCCAAACCGTAATGATAATTGCAACTTCCCCTGTAAACAAGGCACCTCTTTCGCAACTTCAAAACGCACATTAATCGTCATCACCTTGAACCACAGGACCAAAGCAAGTTGCTACTCCAGAGTGGGTCACAGGCCCACTGCTCGAGAAGGCCACAGGCAAGGGTCTTTCACAACACCAGTGGGTTTCCACACGCCCCTCAGCAGTGCAAAATATGCCTAAGAAGAGTGCAAAGTACAGGCCAGAAGTCAGAGGTGCCCTTTAAGCTCTAACCTGTTACACTGGTGATAAAGGTCTCTATCTCTTCAGAGTGTTTTAACTCTTGTGTGTGTTGTGGCCTTACTCCTTCTGCCAAACCCTTCTGTGCCTCACAGACAGTCCAGTGGACCCCTCCTTCACTGCATCCCCTCAGACCTGACTCTGGGGGCACGCCAGGCCTCTCTTAGGCCACACTTCCTTCTGTGAAGCCCTCTGGGTAGAACTGCTAATCCTGCTTATTAATTAACAAGACAATAGTGGCTAACTGGAAAGCAATATTAATGCTAACTTATCTAGGAAACATCAACCAAAAGCACTTCGGTTGGTCTTCCTGGGCTGCAGAACCGTGCACTGGGAATGGGGCAACATTGTGAGGCCGAATGGAGAAATTCAGGGATGAGTGATTCTTATTGCTTTCCTCATTTGGGATGTTCAGTTCTCTCAACATTTCTACTAATCATTATGATTAACTAGAGAGGAGAGTCAGCCCCTCACTATATCCAGGTCTAAAACTGTGAAGCGGGCAAATGGGGGGCGGGGGGGGGGGCTGGAAAGCATAAGGCAGCAGCTGGACCAGAACACCAAGGCCGTGATGAATGCATTCTGCACCATTGCAGGGGTTCATCCTCCACCACTTACCATGGCACCCCTGCACCCCAGGACCCCTGTGTCCTGCAAGGCACCTCTTGCCAGCCTTGTCAGGGCTTCTGCTCAGTTATGTTTTGTTTTGCTTTGCTTTCGGGAAGGCAACAAGAGAGACAATATGGGAGAGGTGCCACCTGCCCCGGAAGCACTGGGCATCTTTAATCTCGCTGGGAAAAAAATGGAAGCCACTTTACAGCTTTTTCTTTTTTTCCCCCTTCTCCCCTCGCCCCTTGAATCTGTCCCTGTCTTAAAAATAAAATAAAATAAACCCCAAAAGGGGGGAAGAAGAAGAAGAAAAGGAAGCCTTTCGGATTAGCTAAGGTCTGCTGCAGCAAGCAGGCGAGCTGCCCTCATTCAGGGATTGTCAAAAACTTTCCTGTGTGCCCACTGCAATGCGGATGCCAACCAACGAATCAAAGGCATTCAGCAACCAGACAAAGAGGGTCTGATGCCAACCTCGGTGCCACTGGCAACCATTATTGGCACCAAGCACGGTGTCTGCTTTTTTTCTTCTCCCCCCTCGCCTGGCACTTCACAAACAAAATGGCGGTGCTTGTAGCAACGAAGCAGCTGAACAGCAGCTTCTGACTCAATGGCAACTGATTTCTCCCGGATTTCAACCCGGCTGCTCCCTCAGGACGTGGACCTCTGGGGTACAGTGGGAGGTAATTCCACGAACAACCCCCTTCCTCCTCCCCACCCCCGGCGTGACCCTGTGCTCATGCAAAGACCTAGGAAGATGGGACACGGTGTGGCCCAGGCAGCTCGAGGCACAGAGGGGCGGCTGACAAAGGGCGCCTGGCTGCTGGCAGGCCTCGGGGCTGCGGCCACGGGAGGCGAGAGTCTGATGACCTCTACCTCCAAAAATGTTTCAAAACGCATACGTGCCCTCCCCAAGACTGCACCAGATGCACAGGTAGCAGTGGGGTTTGTGTCAAAACGCTGGTAACTCTTTGCACATTTCAGAAAGGCTCAGGCAGCTGGACATGGGGAGGTGGGGGCAGGAAGAAAGTGGGGGGGGTAATTTAAGAGAGAAAAAGGGGGAAAGAAAGGAAGTTTGGTCAACAATGGAACTTTATGACGTGTGCCCTCCTCCTATGGGGTCTGATAGATAAGTAACCAAGAGAACTATTGACATCCCAGATCTGGAAATTGTCAATATAGTATAACCTCGTTCCATGCTGCAATGCAGATGCCAAGTAACAAATCACAGGCATCCGAGGCTAAACAAAGAGGGTCTGATGCCAGTCCTGGTGCCGGTGGCAACCATCTTTGGCATTCTCTCTGTTCTTTCTCATGTTTTTCTCCCAATCGTTTAGAAGCGGGGAACGGGGGGGGGGGGAGGCCGGGGAGGTAATTTTGGTTGCTCATCCTGCCACAAGCACGATGCCTTTCTGGTTTCTCGTTCACGGCTTCCCTTATACTTCTTTACCTGACTAATAAGACGGCTATCAGTGGGTTCCTGAGGACTCAGAAGGAATCAAAAGTCATGACGTGAGATCTACAGCCCTCTCTGATTGACTCCAGACTTATCTTTCAAAACCTACCTCCTCTAATCAACCGCTCGGCTAAATGACATCATTAAACAGCTCCTGACAAAGGATGATAGAGGAGTTTTGAAAAAAGGGGGAAGCACAAATGCACCCTTGATGTGACTTTTTCCAAGAAAGAACCCGCAGATGTGAGGAGGAGATGATGTCAAGGCAGGTAGCAGCCAGTTCAGGGGACACCGTGAAAGGACAAAAATGCAAAGCCCTCCTTACGGTGATTGAAGCCACCACCACCACCAGAGTCAAGGTTTCAACTGATACACATTCTCCGTGAATTGCTCAAAACTTGGTGGTTACCCTACCCACAGTGCAACACAGAAAGCTTTGTGTGTTTTCTTCCTTCCATCTATCTCCACAAATCCAGAGGATACATTCTTTATTGTCAGTTCATCAAAACCAAGAGAGTTGGCTGCCTGCCCTGGGAGCAAGCATGCATGTGTGCACACCTCCCGGACGGGCCTGCAAGCAAGTTCAAGTGTTGCTCGTCCCCTTACCTGCACCACAAAGTTCCATGACCCAGTTTTTCAAACTCTACTCCCACCCCTCTCTCTCCCCACAAGGTTGCAACACATTCGCAGCCAATCCGACACATACACACAGCCCACCTTATAATGTCACCTCTGAGACAGCTGTCAGTCAAATTAAGTGTCAGGTGTTAATGAGCTTTTATTTTGGGAAATGCAGGGTGCAAAATAATTTTTTCCCCACAAATCATCATTACTGGAGTTTTCATTTTTCAAAGCATGTAAACAGTAAAATGCACCGTTCCATCTTTTTTAAAAAATGTGAACGTGAAGTTTTACTAAATAGGCCAGTCCAGCACTATTACTTAAAAATCAGATTTTAAAAATCTACTAATAGCATTAGAAGCAGTTTTCTGAAACCACCACCAAGCTATAAAGACAAAAAGCACATCGTAAGAATCTAGAGTTCTAAGACAGAGTCATTTTGACATTTCACTTACAGAACTGCTAATAAAGCTTGCACCAATTTCTTAAAGCCCACATTCATATAACAAACATCAGATAGGCGTCTGCCACCTGGCCATTTTCCCTAATGCCAGGCCAAGTTAGGAGTGACCCGCCATCTGCAGCAAGCCAGACTTCAGTCCACTTACGGTATGCTGCAGTCTAAAGTGCTCTATCAATACAGACCAATTGCTAACACAAAGACATCAGTAGCTTGATAAATTCATTAGAAGAAAGCAAACTGCCGCCTACTTAAGGAAAATGTATTGAGAATACAGAAATAATAAAGATTGGTTTTAAAAATACTCAAGAGAAGGTTCACCAATATTTTAATTACTCAGGAAACCATTTCTATCTCTTCATTGAGTATGTTTAAAAAGTAGGTATAGTATGCGGTTTCTGCATTCTTTTCGAGATTTATTCTGAACCAGTGTAACCAGTCTACTTTCTGGTTTTGTTCTTTATGCTCTGGAAGGAAAGCCATGACCTTTCTCCCCAGAAAGTTTTCCAAATTTATATTCACGCAAACTCAGAGTATTTATGAAATGTTCCCAAGTCACTCTGGGGAAACACAGCAACAAATTATTTAAGGCGAGAGCCACCATCCCTTTCCTCTACAGTGAATATTGCACAATCAGAAATAGGTGTTGACAGAAATATTAAAATCACACAAATGTAGGTCTATTTAAGATGGAACTTTTTGATACCGGCTATCTGCAGCTTTTTGCAATAGTAAATGCTGACTCTATTTCAGTGCAATTCATAGTACTGGATTTGTGAACAAAGTCCCTCCACCCGCTGAGTTAGGAAGCTGGTATAGTGATTTTTTATGGGACGGTTTGACTACACACAAATAAGAATACGAGTTTCAGATGGGGGAACCTGACCGTGATGCAAAAAAATGACGTCTAGGGCAGAAAGGGAAGTAGGATGAACTATATTCTGTAGGCTACTGTGCACCCAGGGTATCCACTTTCAAAGACACTGGCAACAAACATCTACACTGTGCTGCTTTGCCAGTCAAGCCTCAGCAGGCGTGGGCTATCGTGCCTGCTTACAGGGCGTGCACACGTGGTGGAAGTGGGCACGACACGCAGCCCAGAGAGGATGGAGGGTCCGCACAGGCCTCCTCCGGGGCCACCTAACCAGAGCCGGGAAGCCCCCCCCCATAGGGGTGGTGGACAGTGTCTGTTGGACAGGAAGAAAAGAACATCTGCTCCTACCTTGCTCCTGCACGTAGTACGCCAGAAACAGATCGAGCTCCTTAACTGATACTGTAATGTGATGTGGCTGGACGCAAAGTGCTGGGTTTGTGCAGTGGGGAGATTTCATGAGCCGCTCTCCGTCGGTACTTTCCAAGGGGATGCCTTTGAACAGGATCACCATGACTAGATCCAGACGCCAGACCTTGTCTGCCTGGCGCAGGCAGTCGATCCTCCGGATCTTACCCTTCTGGTCGGGGTTGGACAGGACGCAGCACGGGTGCTTCTTGCCGGTCACGGTGAGCACAAAGTCCTCTCGGTACTCTTGGCGGATGTCTTTGCGCAGCTTGGCCAGGAGCCTGGACGCCCACTTCTGTTTGATTTCGGGCTTTTCGCTGAGCAGCTCATCTTTGACTGCTCTTTCTTCGTCCTTGGACATCCGCTTCTCGTGCTTTTTAAAGTACTTGCGTTTCCGAGCCTGCAGGTTGAACCACGTATAGGCAATTGCACGGACATGTGGAAGCAGTGCCTCGATGAAGGGGTGAAATTCATCCTGGGGGAGACGGAAGAGGGGGAGACACAGAGAGTCAGTTTCACTTGAAAAGCACAAAAAAATAATTCCATACTTAAAAATTCTGCACAAAAACAAACCCGCTCTTCTCTTACATAGAATAATCTTTCTAGCCAGACAAAAAAGAAAAGTATGTCCAATTATTACCACTCAGATTCACAGGTAGAGTGTCCCTCCCCAAAAGAAAGTGAGGTCTGTACTTTATTTCTTTGACCCCTATCTCCCTCCCTGTCACCCCAATGCCATGCAAGCTCTACCCTACAAACATACCACCACCGTGATTCCTGACACCAAACTTAATATTTCAACATTTCATTGACCAAAGAACGCTCGACAGTACCATGGTACAGAGGAGAAGGCAGTGAGGCTGGGTTTTGTTTTGGTTTGGTGTTTGGTCGTGTTTTTGTTTTTGTTTTTACACCGGAGCAGAGCCGTTCAGCAGGCAGGCGCGATGCCACCGTTCATTTCTCTTCTCGGTGGCACAGAAACACAAAGCCTGTAGACGCTCCGTGCAATGCCACACACTTCCCGCTCCGGAGCATGCTCTCAGCAAGAGCCTGCTGGTGGCACAAAGAGCATGCGCCATTAAACTTGATCCATTTTCTTATCAAACGTCCAACATTCCAACACTGAAACAGCCCCATTCCGAGAGCGGTAACTAGAGAAACCGGTACACAGCGAGGGAAAGTGGGCAAAGGGCACCCGGTATCAGTGTCCTGAACAGAAGGTTTCCAGACTTTGAGCTGACTGTTCTCTCCCCCCCCACACCATACACACACACACACACACACACACACACACACACACACACACTGCATTTTAAAGTAAGTTTATAAAGTCAAAAAGCACACATTGCACGGTTGTTGTCCCGGCCACTGGCCTGTGGGCACTAAAGCCCCACAGGCTCTGTTACTTTGTTAACCGATCACAAGAGGATGGCCATTATTCAAAACCCCTTAAAAAATCAATCTGAGGTGAACAATGGAAAGCAGTAACTTGGCACCAACTTTGCATTCCTCGTGCCCCTGCCTGCTGTGGCAGGGTGACACCACGGGGCACTGCTGGACAGTTATTGCTTCTGTGGGATCCATGCTGTGCCTCACCCACGTCTGTAAACCTTGGGGTGCACAAGGCACTGGCCGTGCAGGCCCGTGAGGCCACACGTGTGGGTGCCAGGTTCCCTGCCCTCTGCAGTAAGCACTTTACCTATAAGCTCCTATGTCTGGCCTCCCTGTTTCCTCCAAAGAGTTTTGTTTTGTTTTGTTTTTAAAGGGGGGGGGATTGTGTAGAGTTGAGAAGTGGTAAATAATCTTTATCTAAAGAAAGTTCACGCTATTTCCCAGTATGGTCAGTGTCTCAGGACTTCCTGCCCTAGGTAAAACCAGCTTGCTGGTCTGGGCCGATCACTACCATTCACGGAGAGCTGGGCACACAGGCCGTACCCACGCAGAGGACCACAGTAATCACTGATCTGGAGCAGTGAGAATGTCCACCACCAACACACCCTGACTCCGCTGTCACCCCACTCGCAAAACCAACTGTCACTGACTGTATCACAAATTCCAGTTTACGTACGAGGGCTAATCCCCTCCACTGAGTGGAATCAATTCTATTAACCAGCAGTTCCATCCATTCCAGTAGGCAGAGGTGATGAATGTCCAACTAATGCCACACTAACAACAATGTCCCCTAACGTCCACAGAGTTATGAAGCCCGTCTGAAGACGAAATGCAAAGTTCCTGTGCTTCAGGCTGTCAGGAGTTTGCAGTTCAGCTCCGGGAGAGGTGCACGGCCCACCCAATCAATTCTGTACTTTCAAGTGTTTGAATGCCTGGTCGTAAAATCCCTGCCACAGAAGGAGGAGGAATCCAAATATCGCAACAATACCAAATGCAGATGATTCCATCACAGTGTGGTGCATAACCAAATGCCATGGAGGAAATCATTAAACCGATCAGTAGTTTCCAGCAGAGATTTGAACAATTCGGTTACTATGTGAGCACATTAAAGTAGGCCATGGAAAGAGTTAAACCACAATCTGCTCTTTGTGTGGGGAGGCTGCCCTGTTCACAGCAACCACAGCCCATGATAAGACCTCCCTATCTCCATACAGTCTCGGATGCCACGCTTTCAGCTTTCACTGTAACTAGAAAAACTTTGTTTATGCCCCTCAGAAATGTACACTGGGAGAAAGACCGCTCAAGGGAAACACAGACTTCAATGCACTTATAATCTGACTTTTACTCTGATCCGCTGGTATGATCTAAAAAGTACCTATCATCAACGTAAAACTTGAAAATGTAGGAGCTGCACTGGGCAGGGAAAGCTTTGTCTGACTCTTTTTATTCCCGTCATGCTTTTTAAAAGGCAGTATTATTTTAACAGATACTACGCCATGAGGTAACACTTAAGCACTTTCATCCTCAAGCACTATGTTCAGTGGCATTTCACTTTCCTATAAAGACATCAAGCCTAGTTTGGATTAAATGTGCTTGAGCTCTAACACTTGACCATAAACATCACCCTTTATCATGTAATAGATCTCAGCATTGTAATAAGTTATCTCATATCATCAGAATGCAAATGTGAGGGTTGAATTCAGAATTTCTTAACAAATGCTCACAAAATGATGCTTATTAAGGTTGTCTTACATTGGCTGTCAGTGCTGTCAGATAATGTTAAACAGCCCACATTTTTCCCCCTTATAGATAAATGGAATTAGTAAACTTTCTTAGACCACAAAGTGGCCTTTTTAATAATATCTCCCAGGCCTTTACTATTATGTAGATTCCTTTCAAATCAAACACTGACTTGACAAGGGAACATTAGAAAAAAAAAATTCTTCATGGAAATTTGGTTTAAGTTACATATATTTCAGTATTAACATACCTAATATCTCACCCTTTCAATGTGATTGCTTTTCAGTACTGAGTAGTAATAAAATCTTAAGAATGTTGAATAACACGAATAGGGAGCATAAAAAGAGTTTCTGTCCTCATTAAAAATTTTAAAGCTCATAAGACATCCCATACCTAATGGTTCTACGCTTAGGTAATGTGCCATCTTGACTTCTCAGGGTTTTTTCCTTAAAATCCACTAGCTTTCAATAATTCTTTCCCTCTTAAAACTTCCTTTAACTGAACTAAAGAATTGATAAAATAACCAAGTTATGAATTTCAAATATAAAAGTAAGCAGTCTTCATTCCGCCAGGCATATTTCATTCTCATCACGGAAACAATGGTTTCCATGAAAAGGATGGAAAATTAATTAGATCAATATAAAGGTGGAAGAGTAAATACTAGATTGTCCCAAGAGCATTGCTATATCACAATAAACTATAAAAAAATATTATCTAAAGAACTGGAGAAGTATCAGGATTATATATCTATAATATATATACACGATCCAAGGATGCCAACTCCAAGTTCTAGTATTAAGATTTTCCATTATATGTAGGAAGAGACTAAATCTTCTGTGAGAGCTGGTTTTTTCCTTGCATGCCTGATTTACAATTGTTAGGTATACCAGGAACCAGTGTGACAGCATACAGTTTTGTAAAATACCAACTTTGGCAAGAGCTCTTTTTGAATTAAGATTCCATTCTAAAATCTAGATACCTTATTGTAACAACTGAGATACTCTTTAAAGTTCTCAGCCAATTGAAAATGTTACTCTATTTTGTTTTCACATGTCAAGTAAAATCAGAAACGTTTTCCTATAAATATATAGCAAACTCTAATACAAAACTAAAACTAGTAAATAGCCCCCTTTAACAGCTCCTTAAAGCATTTATAAATTCACCTAGTGATTAAGCAAGAATTCTAAAAGCTAAAATTCCTTCTCTCAGATAGGCCTAGCCCCCAAACCAGCTTTAATATACCAAACCAGAATTAGATTATTAAAATAATAGAGGCCAGTAGGTATCCTTGAATACTAATGTGAGAGCTGAACAATTACACTGCGTGTGCTCCTCATATTCTATTTGTCAAGCTGCTGCCTTATTTTTAGCAGATACAAGTTAAGATAAAGCTAGTGGAGTTTGACACACAAACTGTAAACATAATGCAAATGCTGCTAATGTTTCTAAAAGTCGATGCTGGAAATAGAACTGAATACAGAAAACAGGGTACATGGCCAGTTCTTCACTGGTGAAAGCAAGTGATGGTAGTGCCCTGTAAGCAAAAAGTTAATTCATTTGGCCTAATTTTAACGTGCTTCAATAACCAGTACAGTCCACAAACAGTATTGAATGAAGATCGTTTATTAGAAATATATATATATATTTTTTTTTTAAATACTACTGGTGAATAATATGAAAGGTGAACAAGCCACTGCTTATACACCTGAACTCTTTTCCTCTTTGTATGTATTGGCCATTCTCACTCATGGCTTTTAAAATACAAATGGCTTAAACAACTCATTTTCCCACTTTTGTTAAATTAAAGTGCACGTTTACTTGCTGAAAATAGCCATATCTAAGTCAATCATACTCAGATGCCAAACAAAATATAAACAATAAAAAATGTGTCAGCCAAAAAGCGACAGGACTGGATCCAATCACTGCACAAGCCTTATCATTGTTTTCATCTTCATTCACAATTTATGAATGCCTCCGTCCTTTGGAATCACAATGGTTTCTAATTGTCAAACAATTGAAATCTTAATCATTTGTCCATTATAAAAATGCATCGTCTTAACATTAGAAGAGGGTTTTTATTATTATTATTAAGCACACCCAAGACTAGCCTCCACTTGAAAACTGTTTCGCTTTCATGCCAACGTGTGGTTATCAATTACCAACTAGTGCCACGTTCCCCTAAAAGCTGTAGCAGTGTCCCACTCCTTTGGAGGTTTCATTCAGTGCTCCAGAGAACTGTTCTCGGCTGAGGTGTGTGGTTCAGCGCCTCCGTTAGTCGGGCAGGAGCTGGTGAGCGATGAAAACCACCCCCAGGTAAATCGGTTCAGTCTCCCCACTTTTCCCTTTGGCCGACTCCTCTGAAATACTAAAGTGTGTGTGTGTGTGTGTGTTTGTGTGTGTGTGTGCGCGCGCGCGTTTTAGTTACAAAGTCAGTGGGTTGTTTCACACCACTATTCCTCTGATACCAAAACAACTTTCAAAGTTAAAAAATGACCTGACTTTTTGAGCATTACTTTATGCCTTAGGAGCTACGCCCCAAAAGCGTCAAATGAGCAGGTCGCCACCAAAGGAACCCATTCTCAAAGCCCACAACAGTCGGCTGGCCAGCTAACTTGTGTCCAGGGAAAGAGCCCCTTCGCAGAAAGCCAAGGGGAACCCCAAGATGCGGGTCAGCATGGACCCGGATTCCCCAGCTGCGCTTCGCCTCGCCGCCCGCCCACCGCCGGCAGCGCCCACACGGGCTCGTGCCCGGGGCCCCTAGCCAAACTCCACTGGGTGTGCGGCCGATCCGGGCCCCCGTGAGCGCGTCCAAGGCCGGGGTCCGCCTCCGGGTGCCAG